TTTTGTCCCACTGTTGTAGGAAGTACAGCCAAAACCAGCTAATTACTACAGTCTGTGTAAATACAAAATTATACCACCAATCTGATTTACCTGGGTGGATACAACCTTCTTGTTGGCCACTTTTGGAAATAGGTTTTACTAAAATCCCCGTTACTTTCTCGTGGGTCGTTCCATTAATCATTCGGCACCCTATTTTAATTTCGTCCCCTACGGTTCTTTGGTGCGTCCATTCTTGCCCTAATTTTTGCCATTCTTATAATGTATCTAAATGGTCATCATTTGTTCGCCAAATAACCACAACTGCTAAGTTTCCGTTAATGCTCTTATCCTTTGTTGTTACAGCTTCAGACCAAGGCCGCTCACCATTCTCTATTATCATAGAGGCATCTTCTTGAATCACAGTTACAACTTATAAGCCATAGAAATAAAACAATTCTGTTAACTAAATTCCGGCTAACCATATTACTAAATACTCCTGACCGTGATGTCCTCATTTTGCTTGACTGAGCTTTAGTTTCAGTTCACCATCACCTGGCGTTACTTTCCAGGGGGTTCTGGAGCTTTCTTCACTTGAGAACGGTGAATCCAGGCACTCTGTTCCCTGATCTTAACTGCAGTGAAGGTTTTAAGGAGCACCTGGTATAGTCCTTCCCACTGTGGTTTCAAAGTTTTCTCTACAAGAGACTTAGCTACCTCTCAGGCTTTGGCAGTCCTACTGGGGAAAGCCTCTGGCCATCCTGAAAAGGTATCTGTTAACACCAGTAAATATCGACACCCCCCTTTTCTTGGAAGTTCAAAAAAAGTCAATTTGCCACTGTTGCCCAGGCCCATGGCCTTTTCCAATTTGACATAGTTTTGGTTTGGGGGCATTTTGGGGGTTAGTCTGGAGACAAAGATCACAATATTAAGCTATTTGAGTGATGGTAGCATATTAGTTCCTGGCAATATTTTTTCCAATTAGATAGCTATACAAAGCGTCTATTCCCCAATGTGTTTTCCAGTGTTCTTTCTTTACCAGTGACCACAATAAATTGGAGGCGATGACTAGCTTCCCTTCCCTTCTTTGGTAATAGCCCATCCCTCTTGGTTATATTTTCCCTTCTGACTTTCAATTAATTTTCTATCCTTTTTGTTATATACAAGCTCACCTTCAAGGGGAATTTGCCTGTCTGGAATCAGGGCTCCCTCAGTTGCTACCTCACCTTCTGCTGCTTCTTTTGCCTCTCTGTCCGCCAGATCATTTCCTTCCTCCAATTCTGAGCTCACCGTCTGGTGTGCCTTAATGTGCATGATTGCTACCTTTTCAGGCAGCTGAACTGCTTCCAATAATCTCATTATTTAGTCCAGCTTCTATTACGTCTTTGCAAGTGTTAACTGCATACCCAGCGTGTTGTTTTCCGCTGATGATGTAGCTGCTCCCATATTTCCACCTCATCAGAAGGAGTGTCCTTCAGATCTGGACGGCTGGAGTAGGTAGCTTCAATGGTCTCCAGGCAGTCATGGTGTACTGGCTCCCCTTGGTTTCTGCTGATTTCAGGAACCTTTGTGGGGAAAGCCAGTGACCACCTTTCACTTCCAGCACTGTGGACACTGTGTGAGACACTAGCACAGTAATTTTCTGTCCCAAGGTGAACTTGTGTGCTTCCTGGATATTTTGCACCACTGCTGCAACGGCTCTGAGGCATCCCAGCCATCCCTTGGCAGCAGCATCCAGCTGCTTCGAAAAATAAGCAACTGCCCTTCGCTATGGGCCCAGGTCCTGTGCTAGTATTCCCAGGGCAATCCCCTGTTTCTCATGGGAGAAGAGGAAAAATGGTTTATTCACATCTGGAAGTCCCAGAGCTGGGGCTGACATGAGAGCCTTCTTCAGTTGGTCAAAGACTCGCGTGGCCTCCTTTCTCCATTGGAGGTCCCTGTTCCCGTTTGCAATGAGCACATAGAGCGCTTTTACAAGCAATCCGTAATTATAGATCCACAATCTGCACCACCCCGTCATTCCCAAAAAGGTTCACAGTTCTTTTATAGTCTCGGGTTTCAGGGTTTGACGTATCGCTTCTTTACAATCATGCCCCAGGGTCCGTTGTCTGGCATTAACCTCATAACCCAGGTAGGTCACCTTCTGCTTTACCACCTGAGCCTTCTTCTTCGATACCCTGTACCCCTGTAGTCCCAGAAAATTTAGGAGGCTTACCATCCAGGCCACACATGCTTCCTCTGTCTGGGTGACTATAAGGAGCTCATCTACGTACTGCAACAGCCTTCCTTCTCCTGATGGGGCTTTCCAGGTCTCCAAGTCCTTTGCAAGTTGTTCTCCGAATAAGGTGGGTGAGTTCTTAAAGCCCTGAGGTAACCTCGTCCACGTGAGCTGTGTTTTGTGCCCACTCTTAGGGCTTTTCCAATCAAATGCAAAGATTTTCTGACTGGCTTCATGGAGAGGGAGGCAAAAGAAGGCATCCTTCAGGTCTAAAACGGTAAACCAAGTTAGCTCTGGTGTTAAGCATGTTAATCAATTATCAGGCTAATTCCTTCTCTGTCTTCCTTTTTCAAGGGACACTGTTTAAGTGCATTTTTTGCCTTCCGTGTTACCTTAGAAGATCATACTCAAGAAAACACTTGACTTAGGATTTCCTCACTAATTTCCTCTTTGGTCTCAATAGCTGTCAATATCAAACTCAACACTTCCACGTATCTTTGATCATTTACCTCCAGAATAATCTCCCCATTTTTAAATGAAATGGTTGCTTGTAATCTTTACAATAAATCTCTCCCTAGGAGTTACTCCGGGGAGCTGGGCATGCATAGGAACTTGTGAATGCCCCACTGTTTCCCATATTTACATTTCAATGGCTTGCAGAAATATGCTATTTCAGATTGGCCAGTTGCCCCCTTCACTACAATGCAATAATTCCCCACTGATACTAATGCTTTCTTTAAAACCGAGTATGTTGCCCCCGCATCCACCATAAGTTCCACCTCTTTTCCCTCTTTCCCCATCTTCATTTTTGTAACCAACAGATCTGCTGGGGTAAATTCCCCCAGTCCTCTTTAGTCGTCTTTTGCATGTCACCACCACCTCCCTTCTCCGGTTCCCTTTTCCATTTCTTTTCCATTCTGGCTTTCCTTTTTCCAATGCCCAAATTTCTTACACAGGGCGCATTGCTCCTTGCCTAGTCGGGGCTGTTCCTGTCTGGGCCTCCTTTTTCCTTCTTCTCTAGTAACTGCTATCAGCCTCTTCTGCATGTTTAATTGAGGAAGATAAAAGAAGATGAAAGTCCTCTCTCCTTCCAAATTGCCCTGTGTGCATGCACCACACCAAAGGCATATTTCAAATCTGTCCAAATGTTTGCCAGCTCAAAAGCTCTTATCAAGGTGCTGATTTCAGCCTTTTGGGCTGATGTTTGTTACCGTATATCCTGTGAGGCAAAATCCCTGGCGGACGAAGCTGCTGCCATCTATCTACCAATCCTCCACATCTTCTAGGGGTATTTCTTTTAAGTCTGGTCAGCTGGAGGATACCGTGTCCATGGTCTTGATGCAATCATGAATGGGTGATCTGGAAACTCTGTTACTGAGGAAAGAGGCTGGGTTCACAGTATTAGTGCTGAAAAAATGTAGCGAACTAACAGTCCATTATACACATTCCTTTTCTTCTTCAGTAGCTATCATTTGCACATTGCAACAATGTCCCCTTTTCCCGAAGGGGTCTTTCAAGCTTCAAGATCACAGTTCCCGAATATGGTGGGGCTATTCTTGAACCCCTGTGGTAACACTGTCCAAGTAAGCTGAGTTTTCCATCCTCTATTATTATTTTCCCACTCAAAGGCAAAGAGTTTCTGGTTTTCAGTTGCCACGGGCAGGCAGAAAAGGGCATCCTTTAAATCTAGTACCATGAACCAAACTTGACTGTTTTTCTCATTTTGTAATTCCCATCCTTTTTCCCATTTTAAATTTCAAGCATTGCAAAAAAATGCCTTTTCCTGTTGGCCCGTTGCTCCTATTACATTTACGGACTAATTAACACAGAGAAAGAAGCGCCCGTAACCAACAAAAAATTCAAGCTTCACTTCTTCATTCCCTAGCTTTATTTCAATCAGTGGACCTGCTAGGGTAGATGCCCCAGGTCCCCATCATTCCTGACTGTTGTAAGTTTATCCTGCAAACTAAGACAATTTCTTTCCGAAATCAGGGGCTGATTGCCCTGGAAAGAGGCTAACCAATTGCCTCTGTTTGTTTTCTGAAGCCAGGTCCATTTTTTTTTTTTATTTATTATTATTTTTCTCTTTGAAAGTTCAGTCCCATTAGCAATCTGAGCTCACACATGAACTCAGGTTGTTTTAAGAGTTAGCTGCTTTTCTGTTTCCATGCCAACTCTCTGGGACCCATCAGGGTCCCTCTGCCCCAGAGGGCTCACACCCGTGATTTTGAGATCTCAGCCTCGGGCTGAGGCAGACCTATTAACATTCCTACATCGTCTTTCCCCGCTCATTGGACTTCAAACAGCTTTGTCAAATACTACATGCCACACCTTTAACACCTTCAACAACCCTTTTAGCACTTCCTGTATCTTTCTCCAGCCTGTACTTTTCTAATGCCAGCACCAAAAGCTCAGTCAGGGGCCAACTTAATTCCATACCTTTTCCCTCCAAGATACTGAAACAGCATATCAATATAGAACATCTCATCCCATTTTCCTTCTCTCCTCAAAAACATTAATTGCAAGATAGTGTTATAGTCGATTGATCCGTAAAGTGGCCATTTAGCTTATATAGTGGCCACCATTGATTGCAATACTTAGTGAAAGTCCTCTTGCTTTGTGCTGCCCCAGGCGTTTGGAGCTCTGTCTTTCAGGGATTCTCTTCCTCCAGATGAGCAGTCAGAAAGACAGCTCTGTAGCAATGCTGGAGGGTCCAGCAGAGGCCCAGAGGTGACTGCCCTCCTGTGCAGGCCTGTGTAGTTACTTTGCTCCTTGCTTCTTTTCCGTTAGGTGTATCCCGTTTTCTTTTCCTGAATTATGCCTGTCTGTTCTTCGACACCGGCATTCCTCGGGACACGGTGCAGCGCCGTATTCAAGAGACCCTGCTCTTTCTCTCTTGCACCCTTAGAAAGAAGCAGGCTGTTGATTTCGTCTTCAAGGACATTGGCCATCTGGTGTTCCACAAGGGCTGAGTCCAAATGCAGTTTTCCACCGACTGCGTTCCTCAGCACACCATGGCAGAGCAGCAGGATCATGACTTCAGCTTTAAGGCCACTGGCTGTGTGGTTCTCTGGAAACCTGTCTCAGTGTAAGTTTCTGAGGGCTTCAACACTGCTCAAGGTTCTTGGGAAGTCCCGAGGCCATCCAGAAGGACTTGTGGTGGGTGTGACTTATCTCCTGTCTGAGGCAGTTGAGTCTCACCTACGCACAAAGTCAGGCAATGTTATACCTGGGTGTGCATGCTAGCCGAGCAGCTTCTGTTGTTTCTAAGGAAGGGAGGAAGGTTTGTTTTTTTTTGCCTGAGCAGCCTAAAGGTTAGCTGATTTTGCTGAGAAGGGGATCCTGTCCTGGATGGGATCTCACCCAGGGCTGCTTCTCTTGCAGAGGCGAGGGATGATGCGTTCAGCCACATCTGGCCCTCTCACAGATGAGCTCTGGTAGCATAGTTATCTTTCCCAAGTGAGTATGCTTGCTTCTGTGGCCCCTGACTGACCACATAGAATCTGGAGGGGTTGGAGATGAACAGCTCCTCAGACAGCCCGGGGGACATAGAGAAAATGAACAAGGGAGTAGTAGTGAGGATGGAGAAAGACACTAAGAGCAGGCAGTGTGAGAGCTGGCTCCTGGCAGTGCTTGCAGGTCCAGCTTTTGCTCTACCTATAAAAATGTCGTCCCATTAACCTGCAGCTTTTCTCACTTTGACCCATCTGATTCTCTTACTCACCCCACTGCAGGGGAGTGAGCGAGCAGCTGTGGGGCTCATTTTATAACCTATTGGGGTTAACTGACAGGAGATGGCAGCAGTGTTCGGGGCTGAGTTCATGAGATGAGGACAGGTCTAAGGAAACCTCAGTTTTGGGGTGTCTTGCTGAAAAAGGCAAGTATTTGTGAGTATGTCTCCATCAGCCTAGAACCTTCCTCCTTTCTCTTCCCTTCCTTAGGCTGAGTGAGAAGACTTGCATATGGAACGAATGTGAAAGGTGCTGGCGTGTACAAGCTAAATATTACTGAATAAAGACAGTGGTAACCAGCCTCAGCCGTGCCGCATATGAGCTGTGAGAAACGGGAAGAGAAGAGCTGGCAGCTGTCTCCTCTGTTCTTTCCCATTTCTGGCTGGGAGCACGAGAAGCCTATCGGGACAGTGTTTGCAGGGGCCATGACAATTTTGCTGGGCTAGGGGAAGCCTCCGCTCCTACAGGTGGAGAAGGGACAGAGAGAGATGGAGGCCAGGAGTGCTGCCATCTTGTGCAGCAGCCACCTCATGTTCCCAACTCTCACGCACCTCCCAAATGATGGTGAGCCCGACAGGAGTTGCCTCAAGAAAAAGCACCCACACAGCCCTCTCGACCCACAGTTTCTTGTGGGGAGAGAGAGGGAGGGTCTCGGGACATGGGCACCAGTCCACATGGCCACCAGGGCTGTGCTGCAGGAGCAGGCTGGCTTGCAGCATGACCTCTCTTTCCTTTGCTTTTCAGGGATTGTGAAAGTTTGGGATGCAGTATCACACTACATCCCAGCAACGCCTAGCACCTTCTGGCCGGTAGCGGCTCCTGGAAACATCCCTCTCTGTGCTGTTGGCACCCTGATGGCTGCATTGGTGGTTGACTTCTCCTCTTGGCAGCTGGCGCAGCTGCAGGTGCAGAGCAGCAGCAGGGCATCAGTGCTGGAGGGTCCAGCCGCTGCCCAAACGGGACTGCCCTCCTCTGCAGGCCTGTCTTAGTTCCTTTGCTCCTTGCTTCTTTTCCCTCAGGTGTACCTCCAGCTGCTGTCCTGAATTATGCCTGGCTGTTCTTGCACACCAGCATTCCTAGGGACACCATGCAGCGCTGCATTCAGGAGACGCTGCTCTTTCTGTCCTACACCCGTGCAAAGAAACAGGGTGTGGACTTCATCTTCAAGGACATTGGCCGTCTGGTCTTCTGCAAGAGCAGAGTCCAAAGACAATTTTCCACAGACTTTGTTCACAGCCTAAGTAACAACGTCCAGCTGCTGAAATCTCAGATGAATGACCAAGTGACAGGACCAAGAGAAGAGCTGTGGGCATCCCTGGGAAGATGGCAGAGGATCTTCTGATCTCCTGTGTTTTGGAAGGAGGCTGTGCTCCGGGCTCTTGGGACAGGCAGAGGTGGCGATCTTCAGAGCCCACCCGAGAGGTTTCTTCTCCGTTGCTGCAGCTGCCTTTAGTGCGGAGTGTGCGGGTGAGGAAACATCTGGAGAAGAGACAGGAGGACAGTTCTTAAACACACGCAGCCTTGACCAAAATATACAAGCACAGTCCTCCTGCATCAAAGATACACCAGCAGACAAGCCAGCAACGTGCCAGAAACAAGAGCCGTCCCAGGGACTTTTGGATGGGCCTGTTCAGAGCAGCGAGCAGGAGCAAGGGCTCGGTACGCACAGGGGGGCTGGCTGGTCCTGGGCCACCCCTCCCCTTGGGGGAAAGGCCTTGGTGGTGGTGTGGGGGGAAGGCAGGGGCTTGCCCATCACCTGCTCAGGCCCTAACCTACACCTCTCTGTCTCCCACAGGCATCCATGACCTCACACAAGCCCCGGCACACCAGCCACGGCCCGCCCACATCAGGAGACAGGCGCTTCGGGCTCTGCGCAGTGCTTTGTGCTGCAGCTTCATCGCAGAAGAGTGGGAGTAGCAGCGCCCAGCTGCCAGCACCAGGAGGGCGCTCGGAGCTGTACACTGGCATCACTGATAGGAACAGGACAGTGCCCCAGGAATTCAGATGCCCCACCACACCCTGCCCCCAGCCTCAGCTCAGCTGCGGCTGAGAATTCTGCTGTGAATAAAAGCTCAGGCAGAGTTTTGCCCCCAGTGCTCCTCTCTGTGTCGTTGATCTCAGGAGAAAGAGTGGTGCAGGCCACGCCAACCTGGTGCCCTGGGCCTCTCACAGTCATAGAACTATAGAACCATGGAATCATGTAGGTTGGAAAGCACCTCAAAGATCATTACGTCCAACCGTTATATACACATAGCAACTGGCAACGCTCCTCCTGTGAGGCTGAATGTACCATGCCAGTTCTTGTGGGCGAGGAATATGCTAGCATGTCGCAGGAAGCACGGCTGAAAGCACGACAGACACCAGTATGGTCAGATCATGCTCCATTTTATTGCCCGAATAGCCTAACTTTTATAGTGAACTTAGCAGGGGCGGATCGTGTCTCACACAAGATTATTGGTCAAAAGCACTCAGACAAACAACTACAAGAAAACAACCCCACCTGCAAGAAAACAAGCCCCTTGTAGTTAGCGGTCAGGTGGACCTTGTCCTTGAAGCCAGATGCTGGTAACAATGTTTTTCTAAATTCCTCAATTGGGCGATGTGGGAACACTGTCATGGGAACTTCTCATAGTTGCCCTGGTAGCTTGGTTTGCTCAGCTGCAGCAAGCCATGGGATTTTTGCTGTTTCAAAAAATCCCTCAACAATACCCCCCCACCCTTTTTTTTTTTTCCTTTTTTTTTTCTTTTTCTTTGAGCAAACCAAGCCTGATGTAACAGTTTTGCAAGTAACCCTTTAACCACATTTATTACAATACAACACGCAATGATGATTAACACCACAACAAACAGAATCCTTAATCCCTCTTTGACTAATCTCAGTAACCACCTATGCATCGTTTCAAACAAATCAGTGAACCATTGATTGAAAGGATTAATATCATATTGAATCTTTCTCATGTGCTCTTTCAGGAAAATAATGGATTTGTGAATTGATTCATTATGATCAAAAAGGTTTAAACAGCACATTCCATCAAAGTCCTCACACCCATGCCTTTGAGCCAAAAGCAAGAAGTCAATAGCAGCTTGATCCTGTAAAAGCACATATTGCAGACTGTTTTGATCTGGTAACACCTCCTCAAGTATCTCTGTCGTGGCATGGGCTTGCTTCTTGGCGCAGCATAACAATTTTTCTAAGTTATTAAGTGCGGCCGCAGAGGCCACTTCGGCACTAAAATTGCCAATGCCTCTCTAGCTGCAACACCAAACAATTCAACATTATCATTGCAATCCGGTGCGAGCAATGCTCATTTATGTCTGGTGATCTCACACAACTGCGACAAGCTAGGAGCAAATATAATGAGTTTATCTAAGCAACATGGACCTCCGATAGCATTTGTAGGGATACCTTGCCAAGCCCTATCCCTGCAAATCAGAAAAAACATCAGGAGGTAAGGCCATAGCTGTATAATTGTTCCAAACACTACAGTTGTTACCCCTTGTCTCCATGCCATAAACCCCTAAACCCTGCCTAGCAGTGTCATTGTAATCACAGGTGTTATTTGTATTTCTGTACCGGTATGGCCCTTTCCAAGTTCCTGTAGCAGGATCTCGGTAATTCATTCTTATTTGTGGTAACACATTTGGTGCTGCTATATTTATTGTTTGAAAATGAATACTTGCAGGAGGGTCTTCTCGGTCCCTAGTCAAACATAAGTGATTGAAGACAGCCAATGCCTTGGACAACCATTCATCGATGTTCTTGATCTCTTTTAATCTCACTAGTTGTTCCTTTCAAACCTGATGTGATGCTAGCAAAACCTTGCAGTCTTGTGTCTTGGTGAAGGATGAGGATGACATTTTGCAGGAAGAACACAAGGGTTGGTGAGAGGTTAGTTACTACGGAAACACCCGAGTATGGTCAAGAGGGTACTAGGGCTTCTCCCGCCCAAAAGGTGGCCCAGCTGCGGTGCATTTACACTAATGCACACAGTATGGGTAACAAACAGGAGGAGCTGGAGGCCACGGTGCTAGAAGGAAACTATGACGTAGCTGCCATCACGGAAACCTGGTGGGATGATTCCCATGACTGGAGTGTGGCTGTTGATGGCTACAAACTGTTCAGAAGGGATAGGCGAGGAAGGAGGGGAGGAGGAGTTGCCCTCTGTGTTAGGAAGTGGATAGATTGTGAAGAGCTCTGCCTGAGAAACAGCCATGACCAGGTTGAGAGCTTGTGGCTGAAAATCAAGGATCGGTCCAGTAAAGGACATCCAGTGGCTGGGGTCTGCTACAGGCCACCTGATCAGGGGGAGTCTGTTGACGAGGCCTTCTTGCTTCAGCTGCAAGAACTGTCGCGCTCGCAAGCTCTTGTCCTGATGGGGGATTTCAACCACCCGGATATCTGCTGGGGGTCTGCTGGGGTTAGCAGCACGGTGGGTTCCAGACAATCCAGGAGATTCCTGGAGTCTGTTGAGGATAACTTCCCAATCCAGGCAATAGACGGACCGACCCGAGGTGAAGCCTTACTACACCTGGTGCTCACCAACGTGGAAGAGAGCTTTAGAGAGGTTAAGACTGGAGGCTGCCTGGGCTGTAGCGACTATGCCCTGGTGGAGTTTTGATCTTGAGGACTATGGGTCTGGCAAAAAACAGAGTCATGACCCTGAACTTCAGGAGAGCAAACCTCCAGCTGCTTAAGGAATTACTGGCTGGGATCCCCTGGGAAACTCTCCTGAAGGGTGTAGGAATGGAACAGAGCTGGTGGTTCTTTAAGGACACGCTTCCGAGAGTGCACGAGGTCTCCATCCCCCAGCAGAAGAAATCGAGCAGAGGAGGCGGGTGACTGGCATGGCTGAGCAAGGACCTGCAGCTACAACTGAGGGAAAGGAGAGAAATGTACAGGAAGTAGAAGCAGGGTTGAGTAGCCTGGCAGGAATACAGGCATGTCGTCTGAATGTGTAGAGATGGGATCAGGAAAGCCAAGGCTCAGATGGAGCTGAACTCAGCACGGGACGTGAAAAATAGCAAGAAGGGGTTCTACAGATACATAGGTAGGAGGAGACAGGCCAAGGAGAGTGTTCCCCCGTTGATAAATGAGACGGGAAAGCTGGCCTCCTCAGACATGGAGAAAGCTGAGGTACTCAATAAGTGCTTTGCCTCCGTCTTCACTGGTGGTCAAGTTTCCTATGTCTGTCAGTACCCTGAAGCTCCAGGAGAGGGTGAGAGGAGCAGATTCCATCCCACTGTGACAGTGGAACAAGTCCGGGACTGCCTAATGAAATGGGATGTGTATAGAGAGGTGGCTGACGTGGTTGCTGAGCTGCTCTCCATCATATTTGAAAAATCATGGCTGTCAGGTGAGGTCCCTGGTGACTGGAAAACATGACTCCCATTTTTGAGAAAGGCCTGCAAGGAAGACCTGGGAAGCTACGGGCCGGTGAGCCTCACCTGTGTGCCTGGGAAGATCATGGAGCAGATCCTCCTGGAAGACATGCTAAGGCATGCACGAGATAAAGAGGTGATCCAAGACAGCCAGCACGGCTTTACCAAAAGCAGAACTTGCCTGACCAATCTGGTGGCCTTCTATGCTGGAGTGATGGCATCAGTGGACAAACGAAGAGCAATGGATATCATCTACCTGGACTTGAGCAAAGCCCTCACCACATTCCTCTCTCTAAATTGGAGAGGTATGGATTTGAAGGATGGACAGTTAGGTGGACAAAGAATTGGCTGGCTGGTTACAACCGAAGCATTGTGCTCAACGGTTCTGTCTGGGTGGAGGCCGGTCACAAACGGTGTCCCTCAGGGGTCGGTCTTGGGACCGGTGCTCTTCAACACCTTTATCAATGACATAGACGATGGAATCGTCCACACCCAGGCCCAGGCTCAGTACTATTGTCCCGGGAGTTTCTGTCGACATTGTTTAAAAGACTCCTTTGATAACACATAGTATTGTAGACAGTGTTATAAATTCCGAGTCAGTTTAGCTTTATGAGATTTATTTATGGGGTCAATAAAAGGCAAGTAAACAGTGCTGGATGCGCGAGGAGTCTGGGCTCCTCCAACACACACACGTTACATCAGGCAGCTGGCTTTTATGCTCCTAGGCTAATACATATTCATTACTACTTCTAGAAAAGGCAGAGTTATTATAATTAATTCCTGGAATCCAAACCCTCCCTCTGGCTCATGCGTATCAGTCTCCAGTGGTCCCTCTGGGGGTCTCTCGTGCTGAAGGCTCGTAGTCTTCTTCCCAGGCTTTTTCCTTGTCCTTCTCCTTTGTCCATCTTGGCCGGATGTCACAGACTTGTGCAGCATCTCCCATGCAACCTTCGTTTTTTAGACATCCTTCAGCTTTCCCCTTCTCCTTAATCTCTTAGCCAGATATCAGAGACTTGTGTAGTGTCCCAAGCAATAGTCACAATAGTTAGCAGTTATTCTGAACCCCCCCCCAGATATCAGAGACTCAAGGTCTACCCTTCAAGCCCTCTGTTGGCACGAATTGCTGAAACACTCCTTACACAGGATTATGTGTAGGGAGCTCAACTTCAAAACATATTCCTTCCCGAAACTGAGCAGGACCCAATGTTTTTAGAAACCTAGAGAATCCAGACACAGTCGCTGCTGCTAATAGAATAGCAATCAGAATCAAGGCCATTTCAGAAAAAGAAAAAGAAAATAGAAAAAGAAAAGAAAAAGAAAATAGAAAGAGAAAAGAAAAAGAAAAAGAAAACAGAAAAAGAAAAAGAAAAAGAAAAAGAAAAAAAAGAAAAGGAAAAGAAAAGAAAAGAAAAAGAAAAGAAAAAAAAAAGAAAAAGAAAATAGAAAGAGAAAAGAAAAAGAAAAAGGAAAGAAAGAAAAAGGAAAAGAAAAAGAAAAGAAAGAAAAAGAAAAAGAAAAGAAAAAGAAAAAGAAAAAAAAAAAAAAAAAAGAAAAAGAAAAAGAAAAAAAAAAGAAAAAGAAAAAAGAAAAAGCTGCTCAGCAATGTTCAGTCACATCCTGGGAAGCAGGGCCTCAATACACGTAGTGGTTGTTCCGGAGGCTGGAATTGCTCCAGAATTTGTGCTAGAACTTGCCCAAATAAATTTGGTAACCC